GCCTGGCGGTTCTCCGGGTGCTTCTTCTCGCCGGGAGCCACTCTCTCCACAGGAGCTGCGTGAGTGGTTTGCCCGGCGCTGGAGGCGAGCTGCTGGAGCTGGAGGAGCTGCGGGTACTGGAGTTTCTGTTGCTGCTGAGGGAGCTGGTGCCACGGGTCCCGGAGGTGCTCGTACTGGGCGTACTGGAGCTGCTGGACCTGCGGGTACTTCTGGAGCTGGAGCTGCTGCGGGTGTTGGCGCGGAGGCTACTGCTGTCGGTCCTGGAGGCGGTCCTGCTGGGGGTACTGCTGGTGCTGCTGGGGGTACTGGAGCTGGAGCTGCTACTGGTGCTGGTGCTGCCACAGGGGGTGCTGGTGCTGTCCCTACTGTGTCTGGAGTCGCCGCGCGGCCTCGGCCGTACTTCGTTCCGCTCCTTCAGCAGGTTCTTGGTCTCCCGTCTTCTACTGGTCCTCCTCCTCCCTTAGAGTGTCCACAGCCTGTCCCGTCGCAGTTACAGTTACAGCCGGCCTCCCCACTGCCTGCTCCGTCTCCCTACACTGGTCCTACTGGAGGTCTTGCTGAGCGTCGTGAGCCTGCGTCTCGCCCTGCGTCGCCTGTCCGTGCTGCTCGCACTAGTGGTCGCGGTTCGCGTCAGCGTCCTCCTCCTGTCCCTGGCACGCACCGGATGTCTCTGCGTCCGTCCACTGCTCCTCTGCGTGCCCCTTTGCCTTCTCCTCCTGAGTCTTCTCTTCCTGCTCTTGCCGACCCGGAGTCGGACTCTCTTCGTGCTGCCAGTCCTACTGTCACGCGTCTCCTTGCTACTGTTGTCACTGACCCTTCCTTTGAGTCCACTGCTGCGTCTGCCCTAGTTGCTGAGCTCGTCGACTTTGCTGCTCGCTGTCGCCTAGACTACGTCGCCAGTCTTGTTGCTGAGTCTGAGTCTGTCTGTCCTCCGTCCGTCGAGGGTGAGTGTGCCCTTGGCACGGACGTCCTTGAGGACAGGCAGGAGGAGTTCCAGTGCTTGGCCGCTGCTTCACCTCATCTCGTATCCGTACTGCTTACCCCTGAGGGAGACCCGGATGCACTTGACATCCCGACTCCGCGCTCTTACGCGGAGGCGATAGAGGGTCCCTACTCCTCTCAGTGGCAGGCAGCTATGGACGCAGAGATGGCTTCCTGGAAGTCCACAGGCACCTACGTTGACGCTGTTCCCCCTCCTGGGGCGAACATCGTCAGTGGCATGTGGATTTTCAGGGTGAAGCGGCCGCCGGGTTCTCCGCCTGTCTTCAAGGCGCGTTACGTGGCTCGAGGCTTCAGTCAGCGGCAGGGAGTTGACTACTTTCAGACCTTCTCTTCCACCCCGAAGATGACCACTCTTCGGGTACTGCTGCACGTAGCTGCTCACCGTGACTACGAGCTACACTCTCTTGACTTCAGCACTGCTTTCTTGCAGGGCAGCCTGCACGAGGAGATCTGGCTGCGTCGCCCACCTGGTTTGACTGGGTCTTTTCCTCCTGGCACCCAGTGGAGCCTACGGCGGCCAGTCTACGGTCTCCGCCAGGCACCGCGTGAGTGGCACGACACACTGAGGACTACACTTGCGGCTCTTGGGTTTGCTCCCTCTACTGCCGACCCGTCGCTGTTTCTGCGCACCGACACTTCTTTGCCGCCGTTCTACATCCTCGTGTACGTCGACGACTTGGTCTTTGCCACAGCTGACACTGCTGGACTCGCCCACGTGAAGTCCGAGCTGCAGAAGAGACACACGTGCACTGACCTGGGTGAACTGCGCAGCTACCTTGGCTTGCAGATCACTCGGGACAGAGCACGCCGCACCATTACCCTGACTCAGTCACACATGGTGCAGCAGGTCCTTCAGCGCTTCGGCTTCACGTACTCCTCGCCTCAGGCCACTCCTCTGCCTACTCGCCACTCGCTCTCAGCTCTGCCTTCGGATGAGTCCGTAGAGTCGAGTGGCCCGTACCCAGAGCTTGTTGGCTGCCTCATGTACCTGATGACCTGCACACGACCTGACCTTGCATACCCTCTTAGCATTCTCGCACGCTATGTTGCTCCTGGGAGACACAGACCGGAGCACATGGCTGCAGCGAAGAGGGTGTTGCGCTACTTGTGCAGTACGTCGGGCATGGGGCTTGTGCTTGGAGGGCAGAGTCCAGTGGTCCTTACTGGGCACGCAGACGCTTCTTGGGCTGACGACCAGGCTACGCAGCGGTCGTCACAGGGTTACACCTTCAGCCTTGGTTCCGGCTCTGTTTCGTGGCGGGCTACTCGCTCGTCTTCTGTTCTCGGCTCCAGTTGTGAGGCTGAGATCTACGCAGGAGCCATGGCTGCACAGGAGCTTCGCTGGCTCACCTACCTGCTGACTGACCTCGGAGAGCCGCCTCGTTCTCCTCCAGTGCTGTACGTAGACAACAAGGCCATGCTGGCCTTGTGTCGGGAGCAGCGACTGGAGCACAGAACGAAGCACATTGCTCTCCGCTACTTTCTTGCTCGTGAGCTGCAGCAGCGTGGTCAGCTGCGTCTTGCGTACGTGGCCTCTGAGGCCAACACTGCTGATATCTTCACCAAGGCGCTTGCGCCTTGTGACCATCAGCGCTTCTGTACTCAGCTGGGCCTTGTGCCTACCTTGCCTCACTTGCTCACCTCTTGACCGTGCTTGTACTGTTACATATATATATACCTGCTCTTGCTTGTCTAGCCTTTTTATATATATGTACTCCTGCATGTGAACTGGCCTTGTGGCCTTGAACTTGTGCTCGGAATGTGTGGTGACTTTGTGATCCACCCTGAGCTTGCTTTGCTTTGCTTTACTTGACTGGTCTTGTGACCCCTTGTTCTCCCCCACTTTGCCTATGGGGGTGTGTCAGAACATTATAGCTCATGCATATTGTGTAGGCTATAGTGGGGTAGCCCATAAGGGGTACAACCCAATTAGGGTTATTACTTGTACTCAATTCATTCATAGTTCACTCATTCCTTGTTTCTTCTCACAAACAAATCTCAGTCATGCAATATTTAAATACAACGGACTCCAGTCATCCGAAATTCTGTAGAATGTGTCAAAAAAAGAATAATAAATTCCGTGGGATTCGCGTTTCTCTCAATTGCATCGACCTGAATTACTCACAGCTCGTCACGTGGGCGTTTTTATCAATTGGATGGACCGCGTTTCCGCCCCCCCCGCCCCCCATCCCGACTTTCCCGCCCTTCCCCTCCGAATTTCGGGCAACAGCTCGGAACTTCTGATGTATCACAAACACTCGCGTTTTCTACCTCCTAGGATACCACCACATTTTCGCCACGTGTGGCTGTTTTGATTGGTCGAAATATTAGTGATTGGACTTGCGCGCCAAAGTGACATGCATGGAACCGTTTGATATTTCCCAGGTTGGGTGTAGTGTACCATGAAGTTTAGGGGTGCTCTCGATAACGATCATGTGCTGTCATGTATACTCTGGCGCCAATCAACGATCATGCACGAGCATGATTTCGGACCAATAGCCGAGGCAGGTGACGATTGCGTACATGAACCTTATCCTCACCTTCAAGGGTTTGTCATGACTCCTAGCCGAACCATTCCTCTTCAGCACGACTGTCACATCACACTCCTCTCGTACCCTTTTCCAGTCCAGTATTTTCTGCCTTTGTGTTTCCTAGAGGCGTGACTTGTAGTCGCCATTTCTTCGTAGTGCCTAGGAACTTGTATGAGATATTCCGTGCCTTATCGAACAACGCTTCCGGCATGGATCTTCGTAGCAAAACTGTCCTCGGTAAGCGGCAGGAGGAGGCGGGCCATGAGGATTCCGACGACGGGGATTCTCACGATTCTGACGTGAAACTCGTTCCCGATGAGCACGGGAAAGGCAGGAGGAAGGGGAAGCAACGGAAAGGACCGAAAGAACCGACTAGCACGTCTCCCTTCAAATTCTCAACCAACATCGTGCGCAAGGAGGTTTTGCCTCCCGTGGACGACATAATTTCCGCCTTCACCAAAGGTCGAGGACCTCCTTCGCAGACTAAAGGCGCACGCGGCCCCAGCATCAAGAGTCCGCACTTCCCGACACAGCACTTGTACAACTCCCTCGGACAGAACGCATTCGTGAGCGCAGTCGACGCGATGCGCATTCAAGATGGTTACGAGCTCAACACGGCGTTGATCGATTTCCACAACATGTGAGTGTTGTCACGTGTTTCCATGTTTCACTCTATATTTCGTGTGATCGTGTTGCCTAGCACCTACTATCCGGCTCTGTTTCTTCATCCCGTGCAGTTTACTGAGCATAAGGCACCCCAAGACTCCAAACGGGCAGACGTGGGTTGCGCTCGACACAGGAGCGTATCTTATGGTGGCGAATCATCAGGTTCTCTTCACTGGCTTCGAAGGCGGCTCTATCCTTGATTACAACTTCGTACTTGTCGTTGTAACAACAACGTAAGCTTGACATTCGCACTCTTGTTGTACACGATTGTTGGTGCATCATTCTAACCGTATCTGACTCACCTAACATGTTGTTTTGTCATGTGGCAGTGAGCCTAGGCATTTCAGCCTCGTCGTTATCAAAGAACCTGCCCGGGCTAGAACCTCTGCTGTAAAATCGGGGAACCAGGAGCTCCCGGTCGCTTACCTCTACGACTCAACGGGTGATCATCGGAACATGGCACCTGTGGTGTTCTCCGAAATCCAAACGTGAGTTGCAAAGTCTTTAAACACATGCGTCTTAACAAATCCTTGCTAGCGCCACGTGAGTTAACGTCGCATGACTCAGCAATGACTTGATCATTTTTTTGTCCAGGCTTCTCGGCCTGGCTTTACAAGCCGAGGAGCCGGGCCTTTCAGCTACCGAAGTCAAGCAGCGGCTTGATCCCATGCCGTGCATTCCCATGGCAGTAAGCTCTCCGATTATGGTGCATAATGTTGTTCATTATGTTTCCCTTCCACGCAACGCTAGCAACATCGCTAATCTCCATTGTTTCCTGCCTTGCAGTACTACCAGTGCCCGATGCAGGCCAACCAAGTCGACTGTGGGGTCTACGTCTGCATCTACACTAAGGAGCTGGTTGGGAGCGGTTTCGCGAATCTGGATGATGGGCTGCCCGCCTTGCCCTATGGCTCCGGCCTGTTCCGGAGGGGGATGCGTTCCGACATCGTGGACCATGCACTCAAGCTTTTAGTCCCAAACCTGGAGCGTGCTGGCATTCTGGTCCCACTCCAAGATCCGCCGCTGAGCAAGCGTGTGAATAAGCCGGTGTCGCCGGAGCTTGCCGAAATCGACACGAAGCTGCGTGATGCTGTGGGCGATATCCACAACGCCAGCTGCCGCGTGGGCCATTGTGAGAAGGACCTTCTCAAACTGGAGCTACTCGTTGAGTCTTTTACCACGGAGCTGTCGACCACCCGCGACGATCTCGCCGCGCTGCAGGCACAAGTTGCCGCCTTGAACGCACCGCCGCAGCAGCGGTCACCGAGAGATGCAGTGGGCGGACCCAGCGCCAGAGCCGACGCTTCGACTCCCCACAATGACCCGAATCCAGCTGCGCAGCTCGAGCAGCAGGGGGATTCGCACCAGCTACATGCGGCCCACGGTGTTATCAACGGGCTGCTGCATGGGCCGGCCGCCGATACCACCACCCCGACTCGTCGCGGTGCCCGCGCGGGAGTGTTGCCTGCACATTCAGAGGATCAGTCTGGCTGTATGGGCCCGAACAGGCCTGCACCTTCACACACTGTCGGGGGAGTGGGTGGGTCGGGGGAGTATGCGGGTGTTAAGCTCCTCCCCGACGGAACTTGGCAAGCGAAGATTGTTCATGAGCCTGGGTCCTCACGGACGCTGATTCTCGGCAACTTCCCCGATCAGGCACAAGCAGCACGCGCGTTCGCCGCAGCTGCAGCAGTGATAAGGCGGAACAAGCCACCCAGGGGTCGTGTGTGGCAGCTCACCGGAGAGGAGATGGATTTGCTGGATGGGTGCACACATGACATCGTCCGACAGCTTACTACCGCACGCGTTTGGGGAAGGTGGGAAAGGTGGCGCACCGAGCTTGCGTCCCTCGGTGGTGCTAACCCAGTCCCCGCACCGCCGGCGATTGTGGCTGCAGCGCCAAACCCACCTGTGCAACCTCGTGCAGTCGCAGCCGGTGCTGCGCCAACCCCACTTTCCCCGGCGGACACAGGCACCCGCCCTCCAGTCGTGGCCCTTGCACCTGCACAGCCAGCCCATCCTCATGTGGCTACTGCTGCGCCCGTTGAAGCTACTCCTGAGCCTGTCGGACCTACTCCCGGCCCACCAGCCCCACCTACTCTTCCCACAGTGTCTAATCCCCTTGCGCTTGCAGATGTTGTGGCGGCTGCAGGAATGCCGTTGCCTGAAGGTGACGAGGTGGCTGTCCCCAACAACGTCACATCCGCGCAGTCAGGTATTGGTTTTGTAGTCTCCTTTCCCCCTGCTATGGTTGTAGGTGTGGTCCCTTGTTCCGGTTTTTCGTGCGTGGTAACTAATCTTACCTTTCGTTCTTATGTCTTTTGTGTGTCAGAGCCCCACAGCTAAAGGTGTAGTGCTGGAGTATGCGGGTCTATCGTCCTGGTATCGCGTTTGCATAGATGTTCTCTTTTTGAACGTTGTGCTTTTTCTTTCTTTCTGTGCTTTGTATGTCCTCTTCAACATGTGTGGATACTTTCTGAAATAGCTTGCCGTAGTATTTGAGATTCGCATGCAATTATTTCGCTCAAGTAACCTAGCACATCGGCGTTCATGAATACCGTAGCAAACACAGTCCCACTCATGTACCGACCGATCATGTGCGAATGCCCATCGATCATGAACCGCGTACAAACCAACTTGGTTATCCAGAGTTTGTCAGACCATATATATAGCTTATGCTGTTGTGTAGGCTATAGTGGGGTATCCCATAGGGGGTACAACCCAATTAGGGTTTCCCATATGTACTCACTTCATTCATAGTTCATTCATTCTCGTTCTACTTTTCTCATGGTATCGAGCAGGTTCCCTCGTGGGAACTGTTCCTAGGGCCCACCGTTTTTTTTCCTGCCCGGAGCGCACTCTGCCCCTACCCGAGTCGCGCTCCCCTCTCTCTTGGCCCCTAGTGGCCCCTTTAGCCGCCCGTCACGGCCCTTAGACGCCCGCGCGCCGCCCGTCCCGGCCCCTTAGACGCCCGCGCGCCGCCCGTCCCGGCCCCTAGACGCCAGTGCGCCGCCCGGCCCGGCCCCTAGACGCCCGCGCGCCGCCCGTCCCGGCCCCTAGACGCCCGCGCGCCGCCCGTCCCGGCCCCTAGACGCCCGCGCGCCGCCCGTCCCGGCCCCTCGACGCCCGCGCGCCGCCCGTCCCGGCCCCTCGACGCCCGCGCGCCGCCCGTCCCGGCCCCTCGCCGCCCGTGAGCCGCCCGTCCCGGCCCCTCGACGCCCGCGCGCCGCCCGTCCCGGCCCCTAGACGCCCGCGCGCCGCCCGTCCCGGCCCCTCGACGCCCACGCGCCGCCCGTCCCGGCCCCTAGACGCCCGCGCGCCACCCGGACCGACCCCTAGACGCCCGCGCGCCGCCCGTCCCGGCCCCTCGACGCCCGCGCGCCGCCCGTCCCGGCCCCTCGACGCCCGCGCGCCGCCCGTCCCGGCCCCACGCCGCCCTACCTGCGGCCTACTCGCCGCCCTACCTGCGGCTCGCCCGCCGCCCTAACTGCGGCCTGCCCGCCGCCCTACTTGCGGCCCTACCGCCGCCCTGCCTGCGGCCCGCCCGCCACCCTACCTGCGGCCAGCCCGCTGTCCTACCTACGGCCCGACCGCCGCCCTACCTGCGGCCCAACCGCCGCCCTACCTGCGGGAGCCGCCTAGCAGCAGAACCGCCGGGAGCCGAGCCGCCCTGCCGCCGAGCCGCCCGGGAGCCGAGCCGCCCTGCCGCCGAGCCGCCCGGGAGCCGAGCCGCCCTGCCGCCGAGCCGCCCGGGAGCCGAGCCGCCCTGCCGCCGAGCCGCCCGGGCGCCGAGCCGCACTGCCGCCGAGCCGCTGAGCAGCCGAGCCGCCCTACTGCCGGGCCGCCCGACCTGCCCTGTCCGGTGAGCACAGCCCCACTGTCACTGCGTGCCCTTCCCCTACTGCTTGCACTGCTCGTCTGTCGTCGTCATGGCTACCCCTAGCGTCCTCGCTTTTGACGCTGAGGGTCGAGCCATTGACTTTGAGGTCTGGGTCGACGACCTGCAGCTGTTCTTACAGTGCGATAGGGCGGACGGTCTTTCCCTCTTTGACCTCACCTCTGGCGCCTCTCCTGCCCCTGCTACTGATGCTGACCCCACTGTTCGCTCTCAGTGGGCCACCCGCGATGCTGCTGCACGTCTTGCTGTGCGTCGCCACCTGCCTACCACTGAGCGCGCGCACTTTAGTCAGTACAAGAGTGCTCAGACCTTGTACGACGCTGTAGTTGCGCGCTACTCTTCCCCTGCCACTGCTGCCCTGAGCCGCCTCATGCTACCGTACCTTTTTCCTGACCTTGCTGCCTTTCCCACTGTCGCTGACCTCATTACGCACCTCCGCACTAGTGACACTCGCTACCGCGCCGCCCTTCCTGCTGAGTTCTGCGCCAAGAACCCCCCCCCCATGTACATCACTCTCTATTACATCGTCACACGCCTCCCTGACTCCCTTCGCGTAGTCAGGGACCACTACCTCTTGGTCTGTCCCACCACTCTCACTGTCGACCTCCTCGAGAAGTCCCTCCTGGCGGCGGAGAAGAGCATCGTCGCTGTAGGAGCCTCTCGTGGTGACCCTCGCACCCCCATCTTTGAGGGGTGTTCTCCTTCCCCCCTGCTGCCCTCTGTTGCCTCTGCTGCTGCTGCCGACCTGCTTGGTCTTGAGTCGGTCTGCGCGGCGTCTGCCCCTAGCGGGAGACGCCGCCCTGGCAGGGGCAAGGGGGGCAAGGGCGCGGGTGGAGCTGGCGGGGGCGGTGGAGGAGGCGGTGGAGGCGGAGGAGGGAGTGGGGGTGGCGGTGGGAGTGGTGGCGGGGGCGGTGGTGGAGGTGGCAGCAGCGGAGGAGGAGGCGTCGGTGGCGGCAGCGGTGGGAGCGGAGGCAGCGGTGGTGGTGGAGGTGGAGGCAGCGGTGGCGGAGGGGGTGGAGCTGGTCGGGGTGGTGCCCCGCAGCGTAGCGGCCCTGGTGGTGGCCAGCGTCAGCAGCAGCAGCAGCAGCAGCAGCGTTCGCGGGACATCCCCCCGCCCCAGCAGCTCCGTGAGTGGTACACGCAGCGTCAGCGGGGTGGGGGTTTTGGTCCATGCACCTACGTCCTTCGTTCCGGTGACCGAGCGGGTGAGCAGTGTGGGGGTGCGCACCCCACTCAGCGCTGCTTTGCCCGCCTGACGGACGCTTGGCGTCAGCAGTTCCCCGAGGCCAGTGAGATTCCCCGTTGGGGAGAGCTGTCTAGGGCTGGCGTAGCTGTCTTTGATCTTGACTTTGATGCTATCCTTGCTGCCATGTATGCTGTGACTATTAGTGAGGAGGGTGACTGTTACCAGTGTTTCCCGCCCGACCCGGGCATTGGTACTGCTGCGCCAGGTACTTCTGCGGCTGCTGCTCTAGGTGCCAGTGCGTCTGCACTCTCAGGTACTGGTGAGGCTGCGCTCTCAGGTACTGCGTCGGCTTCGGCCTCCCTCACCTTCACACTTGACTCAGGGGCTTCTCGCTCCTTCTTTCGAGACCGCACCACACTCACGCCGCTTGGCCGGCCGGTTGCAGTCTCCCTGGCTGACCCCTCTGGGGGTCCTGTCCTCTCTCACTTCTCCACTGTCCTCCCGTGTCCGGCTGCCCCCTCGGGCACCTTGTCTGGTCTGTACCTCCCCTCGTTCTCGACGAACTTGGTGAGTGGTGCTGACCTGCAGGATGCGGGGGTTCACCAGTTTACTCCTGCGAGTCAGCGGGTGACCCACTGCTCGGATGCCCGCACAGGCCGACACCTGGCCACGTTCTCGCGTCGGCCAGGGTCGAGTCTCTACACACTGACCACTGCGTCTCCTCCTGTCCCTGCGTCTGGCCAGGTAGCTGCGTCGGGTCAGGTGTTTGCTGCTGCGTCCAGGTCTGGTCCTGAGTCTGCCCCCTGCTCGTGTCGCCGCCTGTCTCACGAGACTCTCCTGTGGCACCACCGTCTTGGCCACCCCTCCTTGCTTCGTCTTCGGGGCATGGCTTCCCGTGTCCTTGTCTCTGGTCTTCCCCGGTCTCTCCCTCCCCTCCCTTCGGGACCCGGACCTTCTTGTGTCCCCTGTGTCGAGGGGCGGCTCCGGGCTGCCCCTCACTCCTCTCAGTTTCCCCCGACAGAGGCTCCTCTGCAGACGCTTCACATGGACGTGTGGGGCCCCGCCCGCGTCCGTGGGCAGGGTCACGAGCGCTACTTCCTGCTGGTGGTTGACGACTACTCGCGTTACACCACAGTCTTCCCCTTGCGCAGCAAGGGTGATGTCACTGAGGTGTTGATCGACTGGATCCGCGCAGCTCGTCTCCAGCTCAGGAGGAGCTTCGGCTCGGACTTTCCTGTTCTGCGTCTGCACTCTGACCGAGGTGGAGAGTTCTCCTCTGGCCTTCTGCGAGCCTACTGTCGTGCACGAGGCATCCGCCAGACCTTTACGCTTCCGGACTCTCCACAGCAAAATGGGATTGCTGAGCGCCGCATTGGCATGGTCATGGACGTCGCTCGTACGTCCATGATGCATGCGGCTGCCCCCCATTTTCTGTGGCCGTTTGCGGTTCGGTACGCGGCGCATCAGATCAACCTTCACCCCAGGGTCTCCCGGCCGGAGACCTCCCCAGCTCTGCTGTGGACGGGGAAGGTCGGCGATGCGTCTGCGTTCCGTGTCTGGGGATCTCGGGCGTTTGTCCGCGACTTGTCTGCGGACAAGCTGTCCCCTCGTGCTGCTCCCTGTGTCTTCCTCGGCTTCCCCCCTGACGCTCCAGGGTGGCAGTTCTACCACCCCTCCTCTCGTCGTGTTCTGTCCTCCCAGGACGTCACGTTCGACGAGTCAGTCCCCTTCTACCGCCTCTTCCCCTACCGCACTCCTTCCCTCCCCCCGCCACCGCACTTCCTTGTGCCAGGTCCCCCCCCGGTAGACCCCCTTCCCCCTCAGGGTCCTGCCCCTTCAGGTGTGTCCCAGGTAGACGCAGTCGAGCCGGTCGAGGTTGCTGGTGACTCTGGTCCTGCTGCGGGTGCTGAGCCTGGGGGTGCTGACTCTGGGGGTGCTACGCGCGTGGGTGCTGAGCCTGGGGGTGCTGAGCCTGGGGGTGCTGAGTCTGGGGGTACTGAGCCTGGGGGTACTGCGACTGGGGGTGCTGAGCCTGGGGGTGCGGAGTCTGGGGGTGCTGCGCCTGGGGGTGCTGCGACTGGGGGTGCTGAGCCTGGGGGTGCGGAGTCTGGGGGTGCTGAGCCTGGGGGTGCTGCGACTGGGGGTGCTGAGCCAGGGGGTGCTGCGTCTGGAGCTGCTGAGCCTGGAGCTGCGGAGCCTGCGGCCACTGGACCTCCCCTTGTGGCGTCTGGCGGTGCGGGACCTGGCGGTTCTCCGGGTGCT